CACACACACACACACACACACACAACTACAAAATCTTCAGACCCTTTCCCTCAGCCTCTTTGGCTTGGGAGAAAGGTTGCAGACTATCTAACAACGTCTGATATTTTTTTCTCCTAGTGAGCTTCCAATGGCAAACCCATTATCGCCCCAGCCTCGTCTACAGTTTCCCTTCACCTCTCCCACCCAACTAAACTGCCCTTTCTGTTTCTTTTGGGATAAAAAACGACAAAACAAACACCCAGGCAAACCCAAGCACGTACCTCTCGGTACCTTGGGACCAAATCTGGAAATAAACAGTTTACTAAGCAGGGCTTTTCGTCACTCAGAAGAACACGCTTGGGACTCTCGAATCGACTCCACATCAAAGTACCTCCTCCCCTCCCCCCAAACCCCTCAGTTTCCCTCCCCCCTCTCCTCATCACTCCTCCCCTCTCCACCTCCTTCGTGTTCACCTCTTCCCTCCGTCTTCACCTCTTCCCTACTCTCATCACATACATGTATTGATCAGTGAGCCACCATTCTCTTTATGATAGAATCGATGAGAAATATGAACAATGGCCTCATAATAATGGTAATAGCAGTGCATTTTTATACATCCTCTTATCATGCATTATCTTGAGGCAACACTGCTGCAGCGATATCTATAGTAATACATGACATTTTCACGTAAGTGCTTTGCTATTCAAATCCAACGCCTGCAGCCCTGTTTCAAACGTTTTGAAGCTCCCGAGGCATTTCGATGATAACACTGACCCTCTTTTCCTAGAAAATAAAAATATCCCTGCTGCTCGGTTCTTTCATTCAAAAGGTTAGATCTAGTTTAAGAAAAGCATGCAGTCTGCAATCGTTGAGCATCTCGTCGATGTTCACCACACCTTGTGCAAACACGTCTAAATGTACAGTGATCGTGTTTATCAAATCTCTAAAACCTTATCGTAAGCAAATATAACATAATTTGAAAGATAATAGCGGTGTAAAGACAACAATTTGAGAGTAGCTTCCACAAGGCGGTTAACACTCCCTTGCTGTATAATTTGATTTAAAAAGTAGGACACAGAATGAATCCAGACAGGCGGACATTTTTCTGAATGGAAGGAGAACAAAATAAATCTTTTCTCCGACGCCAATAATCTAATTTTCTTTTTTATTTAACAGTCTCTTGAGTGCTCGGGTTGTCTTGAGTCCCAATACCATTCACACCTCACATTGTCTATTATTATTGTTTCACTGGTTCTTTGATTCATTGATTTACTGACTCTTCTATTATTTAGGTATTGAGTGAACAGTTTTAATCATTCATTTTGTCATTCATTCAGATATATATATATAATATATGAATACATTATAAATAATATTGTGTCTCTCATAATGGGAGTCACTCTATCTCTCCCTCCCCTACCCCTTTCCAATCTACGCTACTTTCTATCTACCTCACCCATCCTGTGTATCTCCTCTTCTCCATTCTAAAACCTTGGATGACGAAGTCTAGAGCCAAAAGATTCTCTAAACTTGCAAATCTACTTTCTCCTTGTTTTTTTTTTCTTTCTCAGTTCCTAAAAAACCCACAAAAAAACAAACCCAAACAAGACAGACGCAAAAGCGACAAACAAAAGAAAACAAACTTATGTTTTGTTTTAGTAGAGGGTTTAAAGCGCCCGCAACTGCAAGGAAACAAACGAACAAAAATTTTCCAAAAATAAGCAAATGAACTTTAAAAGCCTAAATATTTCGAGATAACATCTGGTGATAAACAATCATATAATCTTATCTCACTACTGTAGCCCCAGCATAATCATTGCTCCAATCAGACAGTATTATTCCCAATTGCCCTATACTTCCTTTGCCATATATGTTAACAAAAGTAACATAAAACAAAGGAAAGGTATACAAACCCCAACCAATCTCTAAAACACCTTATCCCCCCCCTTCCTCCCCCACACACACCCACCCACACCCAC